ATATGATTTTGAGGAACTTAAGACATATTAGAAGTCAGTTTTTCATTTTTGTTCTTCAAAATGAAAGTTTATAGATTTTTAAAATCTGAGTTTCTAACGATTTAATGATTAAGTGATAAGTTTGCTTGCCCTTAAACGCCTGTCTAGCTAATCTGACACCTTGTTCATGGGAAACTGTATGAATTTAGGTCAAATCCTCTCTCTCACTTCAGCATTCTTCACATTCCTGTCCCAGTGAAACACAGCAGTAACCCCATCCTGCTACTTTTCATCCACTGCTTCTTAAAACTCTCCAGATTATGTCATTCTGATGGTTTTTCTTTTGCGTGAGCCTCTCTGATCTATGATTTCTGTGACACCAAATTAGTATGAAGTTGATGTAAACTTTAGAAACAGGGGGAAAAACAGTTGCACAATGGAGACACAAAAGACACTTGTTCTTAAAAAGATGTTTTATGAGCTTCAGTCGAGGTAAATTTACTGTAAATTAAAGCTGCAGGTTGTTTGTCTCAGTGTTGCATGTGATCCATATCATGCTCTGCTGTGCATCATAAGACAGCTGATGGATTGTCCTAATATTTTTTTCAACTTTCTTTCAATTTTAAAGCCATTAGGTTTTTTTTTTTCCTTAATGGAGCAGAAATGAACTGCTGGCTCTTCCAATAAATTTAGACATTTTTTAGACACTTAACCATCAAACGGGAATTAAAACTTTAGGCTGACCGGTTCTAGGAAACCACTATCTAATGTTTATAGTTGGGAAGTGATGTGGGCTGCCTGAAACTGCAGACACACACATAATGAGTCACTTTTCAGGCTGAAGACTTTCAGAAGAATTTAGCATTTTTGACACTAACAGACCCACATGTGTTTACAACACATAACGTTAAAGATAAGAGAGGTTAGTTTATATATAGGGCTCCAGTTCACAACAAAAGTCACCTCAGTGCATTGACATTCATATACATTATAAAATGAAAATTAGTAAAACGTACCTATCTAAGGAAACCACCAGATCCTTTTTTGATCTTCACTTCCTCTCAGTCTTCCATTCTGAGCTGCATGTGGATGACAGTGGACAGGAGCAAACTTTGACCAAACGTGCCCAGAGAGGACAGAAAAGAGACAGACAAACACAAGAGGCTTGGTCCAGGTGTAGTTCTATGAGAAGAAAAACACACGTGGATTATATAAATAGTTACTATTACAAGCATGGAGTGTAGAGACAGTAAAGACGGCAAAAGAGTGGAGATGTGGTCACTTTGTCCTCCAGCTGTCTAAACTTTCAGCAGCTCAGGAAGCCCCAAGGCAACCAACTTTAAGATTTATCACAGAGGAAAGCTCTCAGCCTGGGCTCAAAAATACACTGTGTCAGCCTCACTGAGAGAAACTGGAGGTTAGCTCCATAACTGAAATATCTGCTTCTCATTCTACGTTTAGAAACTCAAGGAACCACAAGTAAACCTGCAGTCTGAGAGCGAAGTGCTCTGTTAGGAAAATATAAACCAATAAGATGTTTACTGCAGTAGGTACTTTGTAGAGCTGCTCGGTTACTGACTCAGTTTAATGATCTGAACCCATTAACCTGGGTCCTACAGGTCCTTCAGCAGCACTGCTGAGTCCTCGGATTAGCTGATTCCAACTGAAGTGACTCGGGTAAGCCAGATCACTTTTAGTGAGCGACTCGGATTAACCCAAGTCTGTAAAGTGAAACCATTTTACTGCCTCTACTCTGAGCGCCACTTTATTTTCACGGTTTGACCGAAACGGCTACAGCTCTTTCTGTTTGTGATGACACGAGACACGTCCACCTCTCAGGTTTGTGTCTAGTTCCGGAGCTTTTAAAATGTGTCTAATTGGTTTCTGTTCGGCCCAACACGAGCAGCTGTTATTCAGCCTCACACGCTCAACAGAGTGGGCATTGCTGCGGTTAGGATCCGTCTCAGCCGAAGTGAAACTGCTTCACACAGAATTTGACCGTACTCCACAGGACACTCGGCAGACTCGCTGGTCTTGTTTTTCCCTTAAAGGGTATGACCTGTATTTCATGCTTGCTGCGCTCCTCCTCCACCCATGTGTGGGTGAATCACTTCAGGTGCGGCAGCCAGAGAAAGTAAAATGATACAAAAAAAGTACTTAAGCTGGTAGAAAATACACACGTCTTTGTTTTTATATTTGGTGAGAGTTTGTGAACCATAAATTCTTCAACGCGACATAAAACCGAATGTTTTGTCACTTCCTGGATCTCTCCTCAGGTTTTTATCTGAGCTCACTTTTAGGTTGAGGGCTAAACACCTAAAGCTCAGAACAGCACTGCCAAACTTTTAGTATTTTTTAAACTAGATTGCATGTTTGTTAATATATATATA